CAGTTTGAGCAACTCGTAATAATCGAGCACAGAGAGGTTGGGTAAGAGTAAGGGTCCCCCTTCGAGATAGTTCAGGCTTCCAGTCCAAGCACAATAGCAAACTCAAGTAGAGGTGATTGCCGATTGGCTTGTTGAGTTACGAAAAGATTACTTCTGGAATCCTCCCAATACCTTTCGCAAGACCCAGACCATCCTGACGTCCCACTAGTGAATGCTATGCAACGGTCGCGCCCTTACGATGGTCGGATTGATCTCATCTTTTTGAATTCAAATCTTCAATTGGAAACAATTGAATTTTTAAAAAGTACAGTACACGCCTTCGAATTAAAGCAGTCAGCCCAAAGGCCTTTTTACCCTAGAAGAGCAGGCTATTCGGCTTGTAGATGTTTTAGGCCCGGGTACCTCCGCCTGATGTAGAGGCGTCTCCCAATGTCGTTCTCAATGACTGCTCTTGTGTTGCTTCTGATTTTGCTTGAAAGCATTCAAAAATTTTGTTTATCACTACCATGGAGGATAATAAACTCTAGGGTAATTTCCTTTGGAAGACGTCTGGCTTAACTGGAGAGCTCAAGTGGTAGCAGGAGAGGCAAGAAGCTTTAGACCGCGATATCTAGGGTAGGCCTCTTCAGGTGAATGGGCACTGGTGGTTGCTCCTGCAACCCAGTCAAAAGTATATAATCAAATCTGGGTAACAAAGACATGGTTACCCTGACAGGTTACCTTTGACCGCAAGTGAGCAATGTCAAGTGAATCATTCAGATAAAATTGTCATGAAGCACGGACCGCATAAATAGGAAAATCTCAGGGGATACGTTCCCCATTTCCTAACAGTTCTCAAGCGTACAGTATCAAAATACGGTAGACCTGGGCTTCGCTGGGCTTTCGGGGTCAGTGCATTGATCAGTTGAAGTTGATGAGCGCGGTATTTCCTTTTCTGGAAGTCTCTCTCACACCCGTTTCCAATTTGTTCGAAAGCCTTTGTCCCAAGGGTTACGATCTTTCCAGAATACTCCCAGAAAACTGCTGGCGTTCCATTTCCGACGACACAAAAAACGGCGATGCAAGCACAGCAGGGTATTGGTGTCCTTTGCCGTTTGACAATGTCGATCCATTACGAGAGCAAGTGAATGCGAGCAGCGCACATAGCGATGGCAGCAAGGGCACCCAAAGCTTTCACCTCAAAGAAAAGCCGAGACGGATTACTTGGTCGTGTGTTGTGACAGCTCACCTTCCACCAACACATTACACTGCCACTCAAGTAAAGTCCTCTTGTAGGTCACTAGTACGATAAAAACTACTGAGAATCGTCATCCTGGTAGAACATATGCCAGCCACCATCCCATTTTGACAGAATGATGTAGTATTTTCCAAAAACGTCTTCCAGGGTGCAGCTAAGGGGCATCTGGCCACCCAGTTGTTGCAGGAAAGGATGAACCACAAATCAATTCAGGAGTCCATCTAGTTGTTTCAATGTCCCATTGGAATTTGAAATCGACAACTGGATCGGCTGAAGGGCTTTGACGAAGTTACTTTTTACTTTCCCGAAAATGTAATGGTAAACTTCCACTGAAAGTCCGGGATGTTCGTGGAAATCGTCAGTGGGCTCGGTCAGAAAACTGACCTCCTACCACTAACCAAAACGCTTCAAGAACTCTCCATCGTGAAAATCGTCAGTGGGCTCGGTGAGAAAGCTGACCTCCTACCACTAACCAAAACGCTTCAACCACTCTCCAAACCGTCCTGTAAATATGGAGTTCCCAGCTGCCACAAAAGCAACCCTCAGCTAATTGTATTTTCATTTACTCGTGTAATTAAAAACGGTTACTTCTATTTGTTGTATATTATTATGATTATTGATTATTATCATTGATTATCATCAATCATTACTATTGTACGGCAATCATTACTATTGTACGGCCACTTTTTACGATTATTTTTGAGGTACGGCTTTCAGAGATACTGAATTGAATCAGTATTGAGGGGAAAATAAGATCACGTGGTTTGTCAGCTAGCCCCACCTGATCTGCTGATTTTAAATACCCAGCCACTGAATTATCGAAAATATGATTTTTGCAAAAAATGTCTTTAACTTCGATGATCTTCCTCTTGAAATTCACGGACTTAACGACCCAACGTCTTCGAGGGACCTGATGTCGGGTTCTAGGGCCCGATAGGTATGTGATAACATGAGTAGGCTGGTCTCATAGCACAATTGCCCTTTACACAGCAATTCCATTCGTACGCATGAACAAAAACCACGCCGACAACCTCAAACCTGGCTTGTTGTCCCGCTTTTTTACACTAAAAGCCATAAATATTCCAACAAAAACTGGCGACGGTCGCTGAACTCCAAACGATGGCCGTTTTATATGAAAACTCGCAACATTTTTTCGGAAAAAAACCGTCGAACGCAGTAAATTTATTGCCACCGTTCGAATGAATTTATTGGTGAATATTGGGATTCATTGTCATCAAAGAACGGATGGTGGCTCGAACGAACGCCATTTAAAAACCCCGATAGGGGGTGATGGGCATTGCGCGGGTGCGTCAACACATAAATCGACGATTAGCTGTGAAATGGCCTGAGATTGCTCCCTGACACGCAATGGATACGGTGGCCTATGCCGGAACTTCAGGAAGCCGAGTTGGTGATAGAGAATGGGTAATTGTTTGGGAGAGTTGTCGTTAGGCAGTTTACACAAAAGTACATTTGCACTAGAGCGGAGAATCTGAATATAGTCTGTGGGCCATGGGGCCATATAATGGGCCTTTAAGGGCAGTAGCTGAACTTTGTCCTTAGTTTGTGCAGCCATAGATGCAAGCCCGATAGCATCTGCATGGTTGCAACGTGGCCGGCCGGGCCGGTTGTATTCACTCGCGGCCTACGTCAGCCCCACAAGCGGATTACGGTAGCCGGAGAGGGAGACTGGGGAGGGGGTGATGGCGGCGGCGATTCGATTCAGTTGCATTTGCGCAAACGAAATTAGGTGATTATTTAAATAAACTGGTAATAGGCTGGGGTAAAAACTACGGTAACGCGTTTGCAGTAATTCAGTAATTAGGCTCATTTAAATTAAGTTTTTATTAAAAATCTGCAAGTTTCTGGGACGGCTTTTTGCAGGTATCAAAGTACCTAAGCGAAAGGTTACTATATCCGAAGAATCAAGCCAGGGACCGAGTCAATTTGGTTTTCACCCACACTCGAGAAACCTTGTGATTTGCCTCAAAAGGGGGGCTACTTGCACAGCGGGCTGGGTTCTTGCTAAAAGATCCATGGGTATAAGGACAAGGTAGAAAAATCAACTTCTCCAAGAAGTTCAGGAAGTGGATATCCAGCCCAGAACCTGGGCAGTGGCTATACCTAAGCGGTTTCCCATATGTACCTGAGTTCCTTGAAACATTACTCAATGCTACTACCAAGTTGAGGAAGCCCCAAATTCTGGGATCGTTTGGCTATCTGAACCCGAACGGCTTATGAGTTCTCAGTCATGCCTCTGGAGCTGGGAATAAGAAATCTTGAGGAGATGACGACAGAAGCATCGACTCAAAAAGTGCTCAGTATCGAATATGTAGGTCTGAGTCAATTGGGGAAAAAGGCCCATGTTTCACTGGCAAAAGTCGATAAAAGTTTTTTTAAAAAATTTTCAGTAAACATAAACAGATTGGTACCAAAAGATTTTCTTAAGCGATTTCCCTTTGCCGTGGCTTTCAGGTGGACTAACTCGTTAGTCTATTGGAAGCTTCATCAAATCCCTTTCCTTCTCCCCACTTTTTGTTGTTCTTCTCGTTTAACCCGTTTAGCACTGGAGTTCTTTTTTTTATGAGATTTCGATGGGTTTTCCTGCAATATCTGCAAAACTGCAAGGAAATGACCTCGATCAATCACCCCCTCATCAGTCACATTTAATCCAGAAATACATACAGAAAATGGGAGAAAAACCTCTCCAAGTGTCTGGGTGGTCGTGAGGATGATGTCAGCAATCTATGTAGTGAGAAGACAGTAACCCAGAGCTCTATCAATAGGTATTCACAATGATCACTTTCTGGCTTCATTCAACATAGCTCTCGGAACTGGCCACTTGAACTTTGCCCAAAATAAGCTTCTTAGCCAATTAAAAAAATTTTTCAACTGATTACAGTACCATTGTGAGGAAATGGGACTGTGGAAACTTATTCAGGAATACCCTGTTTCATGTGGGGAAGAAATGAGGGAGTAGGCTTGGGAAGTGATTCATGCAAAAACTGAAGCCATTGGATGAACTCAGAACAGAACACTGCAATAAAAGTAGTATAAACATAAGTTTGTGAAGCTCAAACTCGGGTGACTAGATTGGGGATTTTTTAACTTCTCCGTTCCCAGGCCCAGACGCCCTTAACCACCCCGAACAGCCAAAATCACGATTTTTTGGAATATATTCCTAGGCAAAGACTGCTTTTATCGACTTCAAAAAGCTTAAATTGAGGTTCTTTGAAATTAGCCTTTCCCACATCGATCCTGAGTCTTTTTCAAAGCTCAGGAGACTTCATTATACTTCCAGGGAGTCACACTGCTATCCAGGGCAGTGATCATTAGTATTAATCTATGATACTTCTATGTGGCATCAACTGAAGTGACCTCCCACAACTTGGAGACCCAAACTGAGGCTTCGAAACACGAAACGATTGAAGTTTGCAGACGTCCCTTCCTTTCAGAGATGCCCGCGAGTTAGTCAGGTGTTACTAGCCCGGTAGGTTTGTTTTTTGGAGACTGAGTGTACAGTACGGTTACGGTATTACCTTGGATTTTGGTTGGGCACTAGGTAAGGAGCCGCTGCCAGAAGCTCGTAGATTACGGTATATGAATGAGAGCCATGTCAAAAATGATCATTGTCATATCAAAAGATGCTTAATGATTCTGACTAACCCGATTCCCCAATGAATCCATCAAATTCCCCATTATCAATCGATTTTCAACGAACAACGACGTCGTGCATTGTCTATTTATCACGGGCACTTGGGGCGCCCAGAGAGAAGTTTGCGTGCTGCTGTGATTGATTGGCGCGGCGACATCTGACTGGCTGGTTGGTCGGTTCGTTGGTTGGTAGTGGCGTTAGATGGCCCAAAATAGCGTCATTCAGCCGGGCATATGAAATGTCTACAAAACATTAATGGTTACAGTATCCTGTAGATCATGGCCTCCCAAATGGGGAAAGAAAACGGCTTAAGGCCTCGAAAATCGGGAAACTCGAGGGGAAAACTGGAAAAGGTCACCGGACTGAAGGGTTGGGTCGTCGTGTGACTACAAAAATGTGACTTTTGCAAAAATCGAAAGAACCAACGAATCAATACGACCTTATCATCCGGGCGCATCTGAAACGTCTCAGTGAAACGCGTATTGAATTTCATGAGGATTACGGTAGCCGAGCCATTTACACGCCTGTTTTCACTCCATTAAAAGCCAACCAAATATTAAAATTAAACAAAGAGAATTTTTGAAAAGTTAATATCGGGAACCATTGAAAAATCGATAATGTATTCAATACTGGCAAGAAGATTTTGAAAAAAAAGAATTTGGGCAAAAATAGGAATGAACCTTCACCGGAACTCGAATGTACTCGAGTCATCCATGGATAAACGGCAGCTACACCGGGTTTCTCTTCATCCCCATCTTTTTTCTCCTCTTTCTCGTCTTTGTTCCAATCGACCGATTGTTGAGGATAGCATAGACTCTGCAAATGAATTTTGATAAATCAAATTTTTGAAAAAAAAATTCCAAACGAGACCAGACCAGGAGTAGTTCGGGAGCAGAACAGTTGTCTAGATGGGAAAAGTTCGGAAAATAGGTTTAAATTCGGAGAATGACCGTAATGAGGGCGACTAGGAGGTGTGCAGGTGCTACTTAAGCAAAATAAATAGAACTTTCCGGAACCTTCTGGTGACCAGAGGCCGTAAGTGCCCCAGACTAACGAAGAGTAGCCTGACAGACAAAGCGAAATCCTCGATTCACACGATCAACTAGACCATGGGCCCAAGCTCAGCCGCATAAAGGAGATACCCAGCTCCGCAAAATTCGCATTACCCTGGTAAAGGTCTATCGAAAATTTGGATACCGCTTCAAGTGGAATTCAAACAATTCAGCAATAGGAAGAGTTCGGACAGAGAAAACGGGGTTAGTAGTCAATTCTTGTGCGATTTCTCAAGCGAACAGCCGGAAAATCAATCCAGCAGAAACAGAAATCATCATGGTCCCGACAGGTTGGGTAAGTTGCCCTATGTGGATGGTCCTATTTGGTCACGAAGCCCTAAACGACGCCGTCTGTCGCAAAACCCCTAGTTATTTCAGCAGATTTCAAAGCAGATTGTAAAAGAATAAAACAATATCCATTCAAAAATCCAACAATGCGATTTACAATCCACCAGGGACCATCCCACAACGAACAGAAAAACAGGGACATGAATTGCAACGATAAAAACGGTCTCCATACTGAACAATGATAATCAGTGACAAAAAATCCAATTGGCGACATGACGCGACGATTTGTCGCCATCGTCGCCGGCAGTAACCGTCATGCCGTCCGTCGAACACCGGACGTGGCCGGCTGACGACCGGCCGAATGTTGGTGTTGGTTGGTTGGTTGGTGGTGGTGGAAGAGTCGTAAATCTAGGAGCAGCGCGGCCCGGTGATTAATACGCTTGGCGCTGGTGGTGGCGGTGACGATGGCGATGGCACCATCTGATCGTTCGTCTCCCTTCGTTCGAGCCGTATATCATGCATGAAAATCTGCTCCATTCGATTGTAATCCATTTTAGTCGATCTTTAACCTGCCCAATGGATCCCCTTTGGGAGAGGTCGATCTTTCCGGGATCAATAATCATCACTGTCATTGGCCTCCGAACTCGTCGATAAGCAGGGTTCGACCCATGGAGGCTCCAGAGGAACTCCCAGAATGACTATTTGTACCTCTTGACATGTCTTTGTTCCCGGGTGCACCCAAACGGTTCAGAACACATGTTGATGACGACATTTTGACATGTAGCCAGTTTTCTCCCGGACGGACGTCTCACGGGAGCTCAGAAACGTATACGTGCAAACAGAACCTGTTCAGACCTACTTCATTTTAAGAGCTTCCTATCGATTTTTTTACTAGTCACTTTCTACTTCATTACACTATTACGGCTTCTTGATTCCCAAACTGGCCTCGGCTTCCGGCGAGATTCAGACGACCCTGACACCTTCTTACGATGACACCGTGCAGTCCTAAACGTGACCATGGATGCTGGGCAGATTTCTAGATGATCTTTCTAGATCACGAGGGGGTATGGGTCGTGTCTGATCCGGTTGTGTCACATTTCTGATCCAACTGGTTCTTCTACCATTAGCTCGAGGGAAGAGTCAAAAATATGAGTCTAAGGTGGCCACCCACTCTAAATGGACCCCATCTGGGGTTTCGAATTTTCTAGAATTGTCCCTTTTGTCATTTGATGGCGATGGTTGATGATGGATCCAACCAGAAACCAGTTTATAGAAAGACGCGAAGCAAAGAGCATTTTCTGTAGAAATGTAAAGAAACGATATCGGGTGGTGACTGTAATGATTGGGCAAACTCCCAGAAAAGAAGGAAAGCGTCCCCGATGACAATTATAATCAAATTTCAAATCTATTTAAATGATTGAATAGAGTGATTGGTGAAGTTGATTGAACGGGTACTCATTGCTGTCACCCCGTCATCCCGACACCACCAGCACCAGCAGCGGGGAGTTCTCATTTGTCCCCCCCGAGTAGCGGTGGGGGGTTTTTCTAATTAGCTAATCAGTCAACTGATTAACGAGCCACATACTCGGATTCGACGATGATGACGACCACGACGACGGCGACGATGAATTTGATCGTCAAGAAGTAGTTTTATGCTGATTGATCGAAACGACTACGACCACGACGAGAATGCAGCTGTGTGTGCTGGCTGGCCATGCTATTTCCTCTCCAACACCATTACACCTCACATAATCACGAGACACAGATCGACACTCAAGTAATCTGATGGAAGATCTGAGGAAATGTCCGGGAAAAAACATCAAAACCGTCAGTTCAAAGCCATGAAATCGACCCACACACGCCAAGCAAACAGCGCGTCGCACGAAACGCTTTATCTCCCATGTCCAGGAAAAAGTGCAATTCTCAAAAGAGGGACAGAGCTATTCCTAGGCAACAATTGAATGAAATTAATATCGAAAAGTAAACATAAACATACCGGATCCTGTGTTGACTGGGACGTAAAACTGGCCGTTGGGGCAACGGCTGTAGGTTGTGTCGGAAAATAGGCAGACGGTGTTGATTGTTGTGTTTGTGAATCGTAGTAGAAAACTCCTAAGCCATTTAGGCCTTGCGCAGGCCCACCAGCAAACTCTGATGACGTCATAGGCGCACACTTAACAAATC